TTTACTAAGAAATCGAAGTTATTAAAGTTACTAGTGTATGAAATTAAAAGATGCAATTTATATTTACTGCTAATCAGTGCAGAAAATCTAAAGACTTAATTGTATTATTAACGTTAGTTAAATAAAAAATAACTAATGCATTGTAGGGATTTTGTCCTGCTTCGTGTAGCATAAAATAATTTTCAAGTAACTTGTTAAAAATCGACTAGATTAATTTTTTCTAATAACTTTAAGACAAACCGGTTTCATAATCGAGTTTCTAAGTATTAAAATGATAATATCCACTTTATATTGAGTTAAATTATTAACTCCCATTAATAAAGTATGCATCATGAATAGATTTAATTATAGGGGAAATTACCTATAAGGGCTCGAAAAACGAAAATAATTACAAATAAGGGCCCGAAGTGAAAATAACTACATATAAGGGCCCAAATTTTGAAAAATTTTACAATTAAGGACCAAAATAACTTTGCATTATGATGATACTGGATTCTTGAACGTTATCACTGTATACATTTTATACTATATCCTTTCGTTTAATGATACTTTTTTTTTAAACTAATATACAATTCAACTAAGATAAGATCAATCTTGTAATGTTTATTCGATTCTAAACTAGCATATCTATCCTACGCCAAAACAAGTGAATCATATTTTGTGAAGGTTACTATGCGTTAATCTAAAATATTTAGAAATTAAGAGAATAAATGCAATACTGATTGAAAATAATATGTACGTATAACTGTCAAAAAAAACTTTACATTTATAATTTTAAATGTTAAAACTTTCAATCTAATTAGTTACTATACGATAAATTTCGATTCTTGATTGTTATATATTTCAAAATTCGGGCCCTTAGATGTAATTATTTTAACTTCGGGCCCTTATTTGTAATTATTTTCATTTTTCGGGCCCTTATATGTAATTTCCACTTAATTATATGGTCACATATCAAAAAGTAATCCTGTAATCATGTGCAAATCTCATTACGCAGATTTGAGCATTTTAAGCAGGATAACATCTTTCATGCATTAGAGATAACGATAAGCTAAATTTGTTATTCTTATTAGCTACAGTACTAATTTGTTCTTGGCGTATTATTTATATGCAGATTGAAGATTCCAGATTTTCCACACTTTATTGGGATTTATAATAGTGATAGATATTTATCTTCAATTTTTTATTATCTCTATAAATTACACCGTAACTTACTATAGTTACGGCAAGTTACAACAATCATTCTACTGCATCACTAATCTCTATATAGAAATTTAGATTTTTATATTTCCCGCACCCATGTACGGATATTATTGTGAATATATTTTATAAATCATTACGTGAGAAATTGACTTGTAATAGGATTTATGTATATAAATATGTCCTCATCTAAAGACTAGCATGGTTGCGATTACTGAGGATAAAGATAAAATTAAATTACTTCAAAATTACATCGATGCGATTCTTACAGATAAAGATCATGAAAGAATTAAAGGCTGTAAACGGCTTGAAGATGGTCAGAAGCCTCTCCCACGTTGGAATCCTGTAAGTTTTACAGAGAATATCTCAACTTCTTACGATTCAATTCTCACCTCTTCAATTTATTATAGTTTGACAATAATCAACAACAACTTGTAACTGAACTCGATGCGGAGTATAAGTTGATTCATATTAATGCTAAAAATGATGATGAAAGAATTAAACTTTTCTTTAAAGTAGCGGATAAAGTACAAGCGCAACTTAATGATGTCACAACGTATGATCCAAATTTGGTTAAAGACGCATTCACCATTTTTATAAACAATCATCCCGTTGCTATTGCATGGGGTCTCAAGACACCATCTTTGAAGAGAGTTTCTCCAATTAATTTGTTACCTGGACAACCTCTACCTTTGGGGGACCGGAATCAAAAATAGTTATTATTTCTTCTTTAACATTCATTTATAATACAGTATAGTCTTTTCCCAAATTAATTATTATTTTTTTATTAGGATTGGTGGCGTGAAGATCCTGCCCTCAACGAAAGTCACCAACATTCTCATGCCATCTTCGTAATCATCAAGTTTTACGTTTTAAATTTTTAATAACATTATCCATTTTCGATGTATTCTTATATTAAAATTAATTTGAATAATAAATGGCAGGTTCCTAATGGAATTGCGGACGCTAACTTTCCCAACAAGAATTTCGCATACACCAAGGATCGTCAAGGAGAATTGTTCATTTGGACGCATAAGCAAATGCTAGCAAGGTAACAATTAAATTTATACGTACACGTTTTTTATTTATAAACTTTAATTATTAAATTTGAAGTTAAATAACTCTCTAAATTTTCTGTGACGAATGTATGAACATAGATATTATGCTGAAAGAGTCGCTGTTGGTCTTGATCCTGTTGTTCCGCTAAAAAACTATTATTATCCGATTCCTGAAGGATATCTACCAAATAAATATTTAAGAGACTATAACGAAAAAACTTCTGCTTCCGATTTACAACCTAAATTTGATTATCGATTACCATATTCTTCAATTGATAAGGAATGGAGCTCCTATTGATTTTGCTGTTGCAGCAATCAACAAAGCAATTGATGATGGCGTCTTCTATGTACTGTACGTAATAATTCGAAAATTTTTCTCTTGAACAAATTTATTACTAAGAAAATAACTTTACAATTATGAAATTTAGAATGACCCTGACAAACTTGGGTTTACTATCAACCCTGTTCGTTCTAATCCAGATATACTTGAAGATAATGAATGGAAAGCAAAATATGGTAGATCGCACGCATCTGGTCATACAATGATTGGTAAAATTGTTGGTAAGTTATTATTGTCTATTTTATATTTATTAACCTTTTTCATAATTAAATTATTTAACCCACTATAATATTTCTTTGCCGGAATGCAGTGGATCATTTCCAAAAAAGAAAATGATCAGACGTGAAAC